ATATATATTATATATATTTTATGGACCACATATAAAGTGTTAATAGAATATTTATTTAAATGGCCAGTAAGTGGACTCTGGCACCACCATTGAGGACTGTATATCGGCTAGAGTGGGACAGCCTGTTAGGGCCATTGTGATGTCAAAGTCATTCCTGAGCAGAGTCAAGAGATGCTCCACGCCACGTTGGCCATCGCAGGCCAGGGCCCAGATGGCAGGGCGACCTATGAACACCATATGGGCGCCCAGAGCCAGAGCCTTGAATATGTCGTTGCCCTCCCTAATGCCGCCATCCAACATGACGATTAGATCAGTGCCGACGGCTCGGACAACCTCGGGCAGTGCCTCGATTGTGGCTGGGGTCGAGTCCAGTTGGCGTCCGCCATGATTGGAGACAATGATGCCCGCACAGCCGAACTCACGCGCCAGCTCGGCATCCTCGGCCGTTAGGATGCCCTTGAGGACAATCGGCAGTTGTGTGAGCTGCTTCAGCCACTTGATGTCCTGCCAGGTCACCGTGGAGTCAAACTGGCTGGCCACATTCTCGCTCAGGCCCGAGTCGCCTGTGGATGAGGCCACATTGGACTGCGCGCCCTGAAAGTTGCCCAGACTCAGGTGGGCTGGCAGACAGAACTTGTTGCGCACATCTGCTCGACGCTGGGCAAAGATCGGAGCATCCACAGTCAGGACGAGAGCCTTGAAGTCAGCTCTCTCCGCGCGACGCACCAGACTCTCGGTGAGCGCCCTATATATAGCCAAGCATATCCACATTTATATCTCTCAGACAGTGTCCACCCTAACTCACCGATCTTTGTAGATGTAGAGCTGAAACCATTTGCAGGTCTCGGGCGCCGCGGCAGCCACCTCCTCCAACGGGGTGTTTGAGAGTGTGCTCAGAATGAACGGGCATCCAGCGCTTCCTGCAGCTCGCGCTGTGCCCTTCTCGCCGTCCGGATGAGCCATCCTTTGCATGGCAACGGGCGCAATGCCCAGTGGCCACTTGAAGTGCTCCCCCCAAATGGAGCAACTTGTCTCCAATTGTGCAACATTGCGTAGACAACGGGGACGCAGACGCAACCTATTTGTAGTATTGGTTTAAGAGACAATATCAAGGAAGTCAAAAATCTTAAAGAGTCTGAGACTTTTTGTTTGGAAATAAATAAAAAGAATTATGAGAGCTCTCAATTAGAATTTCTTCTTGGCAGCTGAGTAAAGCGACCAAAAATTGCGGAACTTAATAATACAAATTTATAAAAATATCTTCATTAATTTAATAAATTCAATAAATAATGATTTCATTCAAAAGTGAAATTTAAAAGATAATTAAATACGAACCGTTTAAAGGCCTCGCGATTATAGCCAAGCGTTAACTCTTTCCCCGCCCCACTTCTGTAATAGTCGAGAGCATTTTGTTCGAGCTCCACCATGGCCTGTTTCTCAATGTCGGATACCGAAACAAATGACATTTGATTTTAGATGGGAGCTTTTTTTATTATGAACTGAACTTCTATTATTATTATATATATTATTATTATTTTTATTGTAAATTTATTAAGTCACATTCTATTAGAGCTTGAATTATGATGGCAGTATGTGCAGTGGATATACTAGGAAATGCTCAGTAATCAAGCTGGCTGGGCTTGACTGGTAGACACCCAATACATCTATTTATATAGGCTAGCTATTACAAGCGATTCCATAAAATATAAATTATTATAGAGAATAATAATTGAGGGTAGGGGTATATGTAAGTGAAAAAGAATATATATGTATGTTTCTCTGTATATTCATAACTTGTTAAGCATAAATTACACAAAGGTGTGCGATCATTTATACTAAGTATACCAGATGGGACTCGTTGTGACTCGTCATTAAACCGAATTCTCTCTCTATTTACTCTCTACAGTTGCTTACATGTTGCTCGGGATGACATTCTAGTCGAGGGTATAAAAGCGAATGTCGCTTCCATATGCTCGTTCAGTAGACTGAAACGACTGCTGCATACAACTTTTACGTATCCAGATTATCAATAAAAAGCGCCTAACTTTTGAAAAGCTGAAAGAAGTCCGGTTCTTATAATTCCAAACTGTTAAACCGAAAGAAACCAAAGGAGGCATTAGCCATTAGCTTTCCCTTGGGATGCTAGAAGAGGACCAGAAGAAGGATTTCGAGATAGGCCCAGTTCAACAGTCCGGATCATCAGGTGAGCTGTTTCTGTTCTGTTCTATGAGAAGTATATGAAAATTGGATTTGTCATTTTTCTTGTACAGTGAAATCCCAAATTGAAACTATTCAATGAAAAGTTTTCATTCAACAAAGTTAAGTGTTTCTTTATTTGGAATGCAAATTTTAACGGCTTTTGCGAATATGTAACCAGTTGAACTTAGTCTGCAAATTAAACTTATTTTCCTACTAAATATTGACGCATTCAACTCCATATAAAGACTTACAAATGTATAATATTGTATTAAATAAAAAAAAAAAAAAAATAACAGTCAAAAAATGCTTTTTTTGCATACAAATAATTAATGATTTATAAAAATAAGACATTAAACTGAAATAAACAAAAACAATAATAATAATATATCAAAATAAATTTTATCATCACATAATTCATAGCACTTATATATAGAGTATTTAACTAAATTAGTACTGTAACATATAGAAATTAGACTTTACATTGGTTAGTATTGAACGAGTATTGTAATTCATATATTTATTTGCATATTCAGTTCGGTTGGCAATTAAGCAATAATATAAATGGAAATTGGTCAAGTGAAAGTTAAAAGTTGTTGAAAAACTAAGTGCAAATTCATAACATGCAAATGCAAATGTTTGGTTTAAGTAGAGTTATGTTTGGTTAGTTATGCCTGCAGCGAATCAAAGAGCTTGCCCAGCAGATCCTTCAGTTCGACAGCGAAGGGCACCGCCTCGAATTGCTCCGGGCGGTCCGCTTGGAGAGAGGCCAGATGATCCGAGAGTATGGTCAATTGCTTGAATAGTTTGGTGCCGCGCAGCATGGCGCGACACTTGGCACTGAAGCCGAACAGCTTCCACAGGCAGAGGACCACCAGATGGTGCTCCACGTAGGAGTCGATGCTGGTGTCGCCGCCACCGCCGCCGTCCTGCACCGGCTGCGAGACAATGTCGCGCAGAAAGTCCGTGAAGCCCGTCATGTTGACCAGCAGCATGCGATTGTGGTTGCTGAAGCACATGTTGCGCACGATGCGGAGGCAGCGCAGGCGCAGAATGCTCAGCGGGGGCGAGCGCCGCACCAGATGGAGCAGGCCCTGGAGGTGGCAGACCTTGTAGCCGAGCTCGTACCGGGAGAACACCTCCCAAAACGCAATCCAGTTGACTAGGGCTTCCGGCTTGACCTTGATCGGATTGCTGCCAGTAGCCGGCATGATCGTATCGAACATGTCCAGCACACGCATCTTGCCCAGACTCAGACGCCCCTCGGCGCACGAGCAGCAGTTGATCATGACGCGCAGTGAGGCCTCGATGATTGAGTCTGAGCCGCATTTGGCCAACTCCGGCTTGGCGCTGGCACTGGGCCCCTCCTTCTTGGTCGACTCATGGTCCGCCACGCGCACCATCAGCTGGAGCAGCGAGTGCGATTGGCCCGACAGCACCTGCGACGTCTGTTTGCACATCTCGAACGAGTGCTCGGTGAGCAGCGTGGTCAGGCGCACTGTCATGTGCTTCAGCACGGCCGAATGCGACAGCCACGGCCACAAGCGAACGATCATGCGGACGATGCGGGCGGCCGTCACGGGTTCCGTAATGATGGTATGCGGCGAGTTTTGCCAGTGCATCAGCAGGTTGAGAAGCACCAGTAGATTGTTGATGATGTCGCGCGACTTGTGGGCACCGACGCGCCGCACATAGACGGTGGCATTGCCAATGTTGCTGTCATCGAGGAACGCCTCCAGCAGATGCAGCACGCGCTCCAGCAGCTTGAACTGGCGCGCAGCGTCCACGGCCCAAACGGATTGCTTTAGCAAATTGCCAAGCACCTCGCACACCTGAACATGCAGCGGCTTGGGAGCTACCAGAAAGCTGTATGTCTTCGACGGAAAGAGGTGCTCGAACAGCTGGTCCAGGCCGTGATAGAGCAAAACGGCGGCATTTGTCGCCTCCTTCGCCTTTGCCGCCGATTTGCCACCTTTGCCTCCGAGGCTCTTCTTCTTGGACGTGTGCTTCAAGCTCATCGTCTTCAATTGCTTGTTCAAATCATTTGCACTGTTCTCCTTGTCATCGCTGTCGTTGGGCTTCTCCTTCCTCTTGTCGTCGCCATCGGTGCGCGTGTCCTCCACATACGCCTCGAACACGAGCAGCAAGTTGAGCTCCTCGGGCGCATCTTGTGCCTTTATCAGCAGCAGCGAGATCGCCGACAACGTGTACTTCTGGATATCGGTATCCAGATAGATCGCATTCAGGCCATACAGCAGCAGGTCGAACAACAGCTCGGGATGTTCCCTGAACTTTTCGCAGAGAAAGCCATAGGCATTCGCATCCTTGCAGAACACCATCAGGAGCTTCAGAATTTCTTCGATGTGCTTCTCATTCACCATCTGCGGATCGAGCACGGTGTTAATCAGGGAGATGAAGCTCTTCAGTAAGACCGGATCGCGGCAGATGCCGCGCTGCAGACAATCAAAGTTCCGCTGGTAGCACATCGCGTACAGCTTGCAGATGTGGCCAGCGCACAGCTCCATGTAGGCGCTGAGCAGGGGCTGGGCGGGCGTGGGCATCTTCAGGACGTCGCCCAGTGCATTGAAGAAGGCATGGTTGCAGAGGACGGCAGACCAGCCGGGCTCCAGCTGGATCAATCTAGCACAGATGCTGACGTAGCAGCTAATCAGATCGAACGACGAGTTCAGTCCGGATTCTTGCTGCTTCTCTGGCGGCAGCTGCATCCACATAATCGCTGCGTGGGCGTGCTTCAGGTACGAGTGATAGTTGAACAGCTCGTTGCATGCTGCTGCTCCAATATTGCGTATCAGCATTTCGAACACGCGTCCCGCCAGCTCGCGCACCAGCAACGCCTCGTGATCATCGAGCATCGTGCTGAGGCAGCACGCAGCCATTCCACCCGGCAGAAAGTCGTGGAAATCGAGCAAAACTTTGGTCATGTTGCTGCCGGCATTTTGGATCCAGTTGGCCATTGCCACCCAGGCGAGCGAGCGCACCTCCGTGTCCGAGTGGCCGCACAGGCCCAGCAGATAGCGCAGCACCTTGTTTTCGCCCTGCACCTTGGAGCACGGCGAGCCCAGTTTCTTGCCCATGACGTGCATCCGGCACACGATGAACAGACAGTCGCGCTGCCACTGGGCGCCGGTTTGCGTGGAGGTGCGCAGGTTGCTCGACAGCTGCACATAGTGCTGATAGTAGGCCTGCAATGAGAGATGCATTTGGAATAGAATATATACCCAACTCATGGGGAAATCTCTGCTCACCTCTATCTTGGAGCTGTCCAACTGCAGCGGCTGTTCGCTGAGCTCTCGCAGCACGGCCAAGACGCAGCGCACATGCTGCAGCTTGCGCTGCTCGAAGAGGGAGCGCGCCCGTGTGCTCAGCTCATCGAAGAGTTGGCTGGGCCAGGTGACGGTGAGCTGGATGTTCTGGTACCTCAATAGCTGCACCAGGCACTCCGTGACCAGGCTCAACAGATTCAATGAGACAGTGTCATCGCGCAGGATCTCCCGGAAACTATGATGCGGATCGGTTTCGAGGGCATTCTTGAGGCCGTTCACCACCTCGGGCAGTCGGTGACGCAAACAGTTCAGGCATAGCTCCAAGAGCGAAATGTACAGCAGCAGATCGGCATTGTTGCCGGGAGTGAGCCGCACATAACGGTGCATCAGCTTCCACAGGGCAGTGCACTGGGCCGGCTCCACCTCGTCGCGCAGCAGCACTAGGAACAGCTGCACGCTGGCGACCAGCTGCTGCAGAGTCTCGTGGCTGCTGCAGTTCTTGGCAGCGATGAGTTGCTTCTCCAGCTGGACGTGCACGAGCGTAGCTTGCACGAGAGCCACGTCGGCTGGCTTCAGCTTCAGCGCATCCCTGATGTCCATTGCACCGACGACAGACAGCGACAGGCTCTTCGGCGAGCCGCAGACCCTGTTCGCCACATAGAGGCGCCAGTGCTGAGACTCGATGGCCGCATTGCTCTCAAAGTGCTTCTCGTAGAGGGACTTCTGCAGCTCCAGTCCCTCGGTGGCGTCTGTCAGCGGTGCGATGTGGTCCACTTCGTAGGTAACCGGCACCACCATGGCCGAGAGATCCACGTCCAGTTTGAGGCAATTCTCTCTTGGCCTCACGTGCTCATGGAAGAGCAGCGTAAAGATGCATATGCTCACGTCGGCCCGCAGCTGCATCTCGTGCGGCATCAGGAAGAGGCAGCGCAGCAGACAGACGATCATCTCGGCGTTGTGCTTGAACTCCTGCCGGAATCGCTCGCTGCGGAAGATCACTCGCAGTATGATGCTAACTGCCGGCAGCAGTGTCTCAACCTCGTCATTGCCCCCGGCTGTCTCGCGCACAAGCGGATCGTGGAGCGCCCTCAGGCAGAGCACAAAGGCGCTGTCGCAGGTGGTGAAATAGTGTACAGCCTCCCAGCTGTGCATCAGCACGTTCAGCTGAATCAGTGTGGACTTGCGAATGCTCGGCTTCAGATCTTGAGTCTCCAGCAGACGCAACAATGTCCCCATACTGCGCTGAAAGGGCAACTGCGAGCGTTCGCTGAAGATGCTGTAGTAGTTGACCGGCGGCTTAATGAGACAGATGTCGTGGCCAATCAGCTCGAGGCACAGCTTGTCCATGGCCGGGCGGTACTTGTGCTGATGATCCTGCCAGACCAGCACGTAGCCAATCCGACCTATGGCGTCCTTGCGATACTTTGCATCCGGATGATACAGGTAACAGACATTGCCGCGCAACGACTGCGGCGGCTCCAAAAACTCGTTATCCGGATCGAATAGCTCCCAGAGCATGTGCTGCAGCTGCGGCTGGTCGATGGCGCGACACACGATAAGCGGAATGACGGGCATCACAATCTTAAATATCTTAATAAAGTCCTTGGAGGGCACCAGCTTGGCCAGCCCCACCATCATTATCATGTAGTCGACAACCCATTGCTGCACCTGGACCGACGGCTCGGGCCGCCAGCCCAGCACGAACAGCCTGCGCAACAGCTGCGAGCTCATGGGCAGGCCGAGAATATGGTTTCGGGCCAGCTCAAGGTTGTTGCAGCCGGCCATGTAGTTGGTGCCGTTCATGAAGGCGTGAAAGTGATCGACAACGGGCTGCTTCAGCTGGCGCAAGGCCGAGTTGCGCAACTCTTCGTTGGACAAATCGAACAGGGTATACAGCAGCGACTCTGCCTCCTTCCGCAGCTCGGGCTTGGCTATGTAGAAGCTGGTACATTTCACAATCGCCTTGATTAGTGCCGTCATCAGGGAATCGCTGCCCAGAATCAGCAGCACCAGGCATATTTGGCTCTGATTCTGCAGCAACTCTATGGCCGTCAGTTTTTTCTCATCGACCAACTGGGCCAGGCCCATGCCGAGGGCCTGTTTGATGCGCACCATATTCTGCTCTTCGGCCGCCGTCTCGGGGGCAACTATGCCACAGATGTCGCACAACGCCTTCATGCGCTCGGGCAAGCAGGACAGGTATGAAATGTCCAGAATTAGTGGCTGCAGCAATGACCGGGCGGTCGTCTTGGCAATGCCCTCACTGGTCTTCAAGCTCAATGCCAGAACATCCAAGAGCAGTCCATTGAAAATCACCGACTCCAGCCGGGGGATCATCAGCTTTTTCACCAAGCTCGGTATCTCGCTGGCGTGGCTCACATCGAAGCTGATGCAGTAGCGTATCAGCTTGGGTACAATCAGTCCCAGTCGCTGCACAATACTTTCTGGTATCGCTGCACCCAGCTGATCATAGGTTCTGATTGTCTCAAAACTCAGCTCGATCAGATGCCAATTGTGAGCGCAATGCTCCAGCAGCGGTGGTCCAAGCAGCTCCAAGCAGCCATTCAGCAGCAAGCTCAATACGCTCGAAACGCGCAATTGCTGAGGCAACGTGGCGTGGGTCATGGCACTAAAGCCAGTGTCATTCGATTCCTTGCGCACGCGCAGACGATGCTGCAGCAGCTTGATGAAGGTCAACAGCGCCCGGTTGGCGTGCAACAACGTTACGTCCGCCTGCAACTGCTGGACGTGCAGCAATTGAAGGAATATATACGGATCCTGAAATAGTTGTTCGGCTGGATAATCGCATAATTTGATTTGAATGCTGGTCAAATTCTCCTGCAGCTGCACGTCGTTGCCAATCGTCAAAGTGTCGTTAAGGGTCTTCATTGTGGCCACATCATCTGGGCTAGCGCACGACCAGGCCGTTTCAAAGTCTTCTGGGCCAATATTAAAGTTGTCCAAGGCAAACAACTCCATGTCACCGACGCTCTCACGGGATTCGCCTGTTGAAACGAACCGCATATCATATACCTAACATCATTATCTTTTATAAGACAACATACCCGAACTATTGTTGCTATTCCCATTAGGGTTACTGTTAATGGGAGAAATATTAAACTCCTTGTAGAGGTAAGGCACCAGGCTCTGTATATTGTCCAGCAGTTCCATAGCACGTTTTGACTCCACATTTTTGAGTATCTTTCGTATCTTATTCAGCTCGGCTTCCAGGCGCTGGCAAGGAATCTTGTTGACCACAGTCTCGCAGTAATCCGATCGCAACAACTCGAGCATTAGGGCTAGCACGCGATCTGGAGCAGCTAGCGGTGTGTGGCCAAACCAGCGTATTAGTTGCTTAAGCAGCAGCACGGGCTTAAAGTTAATTGCTTCGTCGTGCTGCAGACAACGTATGAAACGCGTTTCAATCTGTTCCAATGCACGCATTCGTATTTCTGCCGACTCATTAGTCAATTTAGCCAGCTGCTGCTCGCCCAGCGAGAGGGTCAATTTGGAGGATATCGATGATGTTGACATTCTGATGTTGCATCTGTAATTTGAGCAAATCTCGTTGTTCACATGCCTATAATTGCTGTCAACACTTACTTGTCCTTATGTCCTGGTATTTATTTTACAAAATTTGACAATTGTTCACTTTTACAAATAGATTTTCAAAAGGGACGTCAGCTTACGCGCGTTCAAAGAAGCCGACAATAATTTTTGACGCCGCTGCCTTTTTAAGTATAACAGTCGTGTTACTTTACAGTGCTGTTAAAAATCCCAAATTAGTATTAATGTTAAGACAATATTCTGTTGAGGCCGTTATGTTTTCAGTTAGTGCTCTGTTATGTTATTTAAATGTTGCCGCGTATTAAATTATATACCACTGCTTCAAAATCATTTCGGATTAATGACTAGTTCTAACAGTTTAGTAATTATTATATATATAAATATATTATACGCATCTGTTAAAATTGCTGTTAAGCTTTGACTCAATTTTAAATTGCTAACATGTCCTGTAAATAACATTTCCTAAAACAGTGTTTAGTAGGATAATAAAATCAAATAAATCAAAGGCATGAGATTTACACACATGTAAACCAATTTTTCAATTTATGTTTTTTTTTTTTTTTTCTCTTTGCCAATTAATATGGACATTTGACTAATGAAGGCCAATTTTTTTTATTCGTCTTAATATCGAAGTATAAACCTGACGGGCAAGTAAAGTTGTAGCGAATTCCATTCACACACCTGAAGAATCGATTGCAGTCACCTTCTTGCATAAAGAAACCATCTCTTGCACAATTCTCAGTCGCTTCCGGAGGCGGAGTTGTAGTTGGAGTTGCAGTTGGAGTTAGAATTGGTGTTGGAGTTGGACGCGCAGTAGCGTTCGGGGTTGGAGTTCCAATCGGAGCTAGAGTTGGAGTCGGAGTCGTAGTCGGCTTAGGTGTAGGTGCAGCAGTTACACCACCGCCACCACTACCTCCACCGTTGCCCACATCCACTCCCAGTCCCCTGTTCATTGTTTTTTTCAGCGGATAAGTCTCCCCGCACAGCCCACGGAAGTCGTCGGTCTCGATGGACCAGGTCATGGCGCCGCCCAAATTTCGTGACTGCACCAATTGCATCTTGAGCTCGATGCTCTGCACGTTGTCGTAGCCAATCCACTGATCCCCACTGAATGCATAAGGCGTCTTGCTCTCTCCGTCAAACACAGTTTGCCAGTTCATTTGGCATATTTCGTGGTAGCCCATGAAACCTCGTTCTCGAGTGTAAGGTCCGGCCTCTCCGGGTCCCCTGCAAGGTGCTCCCGGCTGATTTTGCGAGCTGTCCGTCATCTGATAGCTGTGGCCATAGAATGCAATACCAAGGATTAGCTTCTCGGCCGGCGCACCTAAACAGATGGGAATAAGTAAATGAGATTATTTGGACTGCATAACTGACCTTGACTCAGCCAGTAATCGATGGACTTCTCCACCTCTGGATATGGAGCATTGAATCCCAAATAGCCATCCATTGCCATGTGGAAGTCGTAGGTCATAACATTAATGAATGTTAGATGCTCAGAAATTGCCGGAATATCGTAGGAAATGGCGGCAGACGCCTCAGAGGCTCCCACAGCGATGTCCAGCTCGAGGCCGTGAGGAGCGAATCTGCACCGGGATATATAACATATCTAGTATACATATGTATTGTTGATTCACATTTCCACTTACGCTTCTTTAATTTCCCGTAGAAGGGTTACGAAGTTCGCCCGATCTGCTGAACTTCCTCCGCGCAGTCCAGGATATTCCCAATCCAAGTCGAGTCCATCAAAGCCATGTTGCCGGATGAATGCCAATGTGGAGGATATAAAGGTCGCTCGCTTGGCTGGATCTGCTGCCATGGCCGAGTACTTGGTGGATCCTTCGTTCCATCCACCCACAACTGCCAATACTTTGAGTTTGGGATTCCGCTGCTTCAGTGCGATTGTCTTGCTTATAAAACCTATAACATAAGTCATTTTTATGTTACCGATGATTTTATCCGCCGTCAGGACTTACCTAGGCCACTGTCTAGATCGAGCCATGGGTCCAGGGACTTGAATTCGCCCGAGTCGCTGATGCCAAAGAACGTGTAGCTAATGTGGGTGCACAGGAATGGATCGATGTTCGACGGCTCGAACTTGCCATCTCCAGGGCGATAGTTCGCCCAGGTGCCCCAGTAACAGTTGAGGATCTCTGCAATATACAGGCAGATGATATGTATTAACAACGAAAAGGAATTCGCACTTACTGTCACTGGAGGCTATACGGCCGAGGCAAATAACAGATAATACTAAGCACGCAAGCGTATTCATGTTCTCTGTGGCATTTAGCAAACTCGGCGGCTTCTTTTATAGTCTCTTGACTTATCTGGTCCATTATTATCTTACCCATTCATGGACTAATCATATAATCTGTACCGATAAAATCTTTCATCTTCCATTAAGATAGCATTAATAATAAATTCCAAATAACATATTTTTTATCTCTCATATAGTCTTCAGCAAACAAGTGAAGGTGCTCCAGTTGGGAATACCTGGCTAACCGATTGACAGATAGAAAACAGTCATTTCTATTTGTATGCCCTGTTGTATGCGTGTATTTGTATTGTTTATTATGTATGTATTGAAAAGTTCTATACTAGATTTAAGCTGTATAGCTCCAGGGATTTCCTAGATCATTCCTACTTCTTGCTGGGGTTTTTGTTATGTAGACAATGTGGGCTCTATATAAAAATAATAATAAAATAGTTTACGCCTTTTGCTTTATTTATTTAGAGTCTTAATAGGGGCAATCGACATCTGCGGGCCAACCACAGCTGAGTGTGTCAAGGTTAAAATATAGACCCTCTCCGCAATTGAAGTCATAGCGAGCTCCATTCACGCACTGATAGAAGCGATTGCAGTCTCCAATCTGCCAGAAGTAGCCATCTCCTGTGCAACCCTCACTGGATCCACCTCCACCGCCGCCATTGCCGTTGCCGCCGCCGCCTTCAGGAGTCGGTTTAGGTGTAGGTGCAGCAGTTACACCACCGCCACCGCCACCACTGCCTCCTCCGTTGCCCACATCCACTCCCAGTCCCCTGTTCATTGCCTTCAACAGCGGATAAGTCTCCCCGCACAGCCCACKGAAGTCGTCGGTCTCGATGGACCAGGTCATGGCGCCACCCAAATTTCGTGACTGCACCAATTGCATCTTGAGTTCGATACTCTGCACGTTGTCGTAGCCAATCCACTGATCCCCACTGAATGCATAAGGCGACTTGCTCTCTCCGTCAAACACAGATTGCCAGTTCATTTGGCATATTTCGTGGTAACCCATGAAACCTTTTTCACGGGTAAAAGGTCCGGCTTCTCCGGGTCCCCTACAAGGTGCTCCCGGCTGATTTTGCGAGCTGTCCGCCATCTGATAGCTGTGGCCATAGAAACCAATGCCAAGGATTAGCTTCTCGGCCGGCGCACCTAAAAGATCGGCATAAGTAAATGAAATTATTTGGACTGCATTACTGACCTTGGCTCAGCCAGTAATCGATGGACTTCTCCACCTCTGGATATGGAGCATTGAATCCCAAGTAGCCATCCATTGCCATGTGGAAGTCGTAGGTCATAACATTAATGAATGTTAGATGCTCAGAAATTGCCGGAATATCGTAGGAAATGGCGGCAGACGCCTCAGAGGCTCCCACAGCGATGCCCAGCTCGAGGCCGTGAGGAGCGAATCTGCACCGGGATATATAACATATCTAGTATATGTATTGTTGATTCACATTTCCACTTACGCTTCTTTAATTTCCCGTAGAAGCGTTACGAAGTTCGCCCGATCTGCTGAACTTCCTCCGCGCTGTCCAGGATATTCNGAGTACTTGGTGGATCCTTCGTTCCATCCACCCACAACTGCCAATACTTTGAGTTTGGGGTTCCGTTGCTTCAGTGCGATTGTCTTGCTTATAAAGCCTGCTCATGATTAATGGCTTTTAGAACAATTTATTATGATACCGGACAGATACTTACCTAGGCCATCGTCCATATCGAGCCAAGTGTCCAGGGACTTGAATTCGCCCGAGTCGCTGATGCCAAAGAACGTGTAGCTAATGTGGGTGCACAGGAATGGATCGATGTTCGACGGCTCGAACTTGCCATCTCCCGGTCGATAGTTGGCCCAGGTGCCCCAGTAACAGTTGAGGATCTCTGCAAGATACAGCCAGATGATATGTATGAGCTGACAACGAACAAGAATTCGCACTTACTGTCACAGGAGGCCATCCGGCCGAGGCAAAGAACAAATAATACTAAGCACGCAAGCGTATTCATGTTTTCTCTGTGAGTCGGCTTATTCCGTGGTATCTTTTATAGTCGTTTTACTTATCAGTTCCTTTATCAATTTTACTACGCATTGAATAATCACGCATGCCTTGTGTAGATAAAAGTTCTCTTCATGAAAAACAATGTCCTAATATATTGCATTAATTTTATAATCTCGATTACAAATGCGCATAAATTAAATTTTGACTCATGGCAAGTGCCAAGCTACATAGTACTACTTGAGATTAAGCAGAGAGTAAAATCGGCTAAGTACTTCATTCCACTTTATTAAAACAAAAATATATTCGTGATGCAGCGATTTTTTGACCCCCCTGGAAATTATTTATTGCCGGCAGAAATATTTAAAAACTCTGATTAAAATATCTAATAGCTAGTATGATTATTTATATACCTATGGGCTGAATGAACGCTTTCGAGAGGGTATTTCAATGTTGTCATAAAATAGGTATTCGCCTTCGAAGAATGCTATGATGTGGGTCAATCTTATAACGATATCTTTCCTATGAAAGCTGAGACACCACTCTACTCATCACTATATAAATAGTGAGTTTATCACTCGATTGACAATAAGCCCATTTCCAGATATACAATATCACCTACTATGTATATCTACATTATCGTTCGGTTTAGTTTCAATTAAGTGGAATATACCTTTGATACGTACTATTACTGCCTATATAAGCTAAAGTTTATTAATAAGCAATAACGCCTATCTCATATCTATTGATATTCGATCAAGCCAAAGTTTTATCAAGGAAATAAAAGATATACTTTTACTATTCAAGTGCATCAAATGATATGAAATTGCATTAGTTAAAAATATAATCAAAATTTAGCAAATATGCACAGAAGGATTATATAATATATATTATAAATATTAGATGGAGATTTTAAGATAACTCAAAAATCTTTTTCTTATTGTTAAGAGAGAAAGGGAGAGACAGAAGAACTAGAGAGAAGTAGAGACAGAAACGAATAAATAATAAATAAAAAAGGGAGAGAGAGAAAGCTCAAAGGATATTAGATTATAATGAAGTGAGAGAGAGACAGCAATAGTGTGAGAAGTAGGGAGAATGTGATTGAGTGAGTGAAAGAAAGAGAGGGAGAGTAAGAGAGAAAGAGATAGAGAGAGACAGAGGATGTGAGAGACGTAATCGACATCAACTTGCCACAAAAATTAATTTATTTATATACAAAATGAAACTAGGACTTATATTAAAATATGAATATATGTTTTTAAATATTTTTTAAAATTTAATTATAGTATTTCCTGGCTTAAAATTGGATTCTCAATGCCCGAGCTTGTTTCAGTTATACTTTGAGTATGATCATTAAATTGGTAAACTAAAAATTAAGATTTTATTTTTCATCATTTATTTCATTCACATTTTGCAATTTTCCATTCTTATTGCATTACCAACGCAACTTTCGGTTGATGGTCTTCAGCAGAGGGAATGACTCGCCGCAGAGGCCACGGAAGTCGTCGGTCTCCAGGGACCAGACCATGGCGCCGGCTAGATTCTTGGAGAGGGCAAAGTCCATCTTCCACTGAACACTGAGCACATTGTCGAAGCTGACCCACTGATCGCCGGAGAAGGCATAGGGCGCTGCATTATTGTAGTCGAAGACCGTCTGCCAATTGTTCACGCAGATTTCGTTGTAGCCCAGGTAGCCGCCGTCGCCGGTAAAGGGGCCGGCACCGCCCACGCCCCGACATGGTGCTCCGGGCCAGTTCTGAGAGGCGTCAGTTAGCTGGAAGCTGCGTCCATATGTGCCAATGCCAAGCACAAGCTTATCAGCGGGCGCCCCTAAAAGATATCCATTAAGTTAGCCGGAAGAAATAATTGCTCAGTAAATGCTTTACCATTGTTGAGCCAATAGTTAATCGAGTTCTCGATGGCCCACTGGGGCGCATTGAAGCCAGTCTGGCCATCGGAAGCCATGGCAAAGTCGTACGTCATAACATTAATGAAGTTCACCTGCTGGGCAATATTGGCTATTTCATAGGAGCTGCTGGCTATCGACTCGCCGGCGCCCACGGCAATGCTCAGCTCATAGCCATAAGGTGCAAATCTGGGAGGGCACAATGGGCAGATTAGATCGGAGCTGAAGTATGAGCTTATGAATACCTACGCCTCCCTCAGCTCGCGCAGTAGAGTCACAAAATTGGAGCGATCCTCCCACTGGCCGCCACGCTGATTGGGGTACTCCCAGTCCAGATCCAAGCCATCGAAGCCGTTGTTGCGCAGTAAGTTCAGCGCCGAGTTGATGAAGTTTTGGCGCCTGTTCCAGTCGCCGGCCATGGCCGAATACTTAACGGATCCCTCGTTCCAGCCACCCACCACGGCCAATACTTTGAGATTATGATTCTGGCTCTTCAGGCCAATGGCCTGGCTGATGAAGCCCAAGTCATAGTCCAGCCAGGTATCCAGCGACTGAATCTCGCCATTGTCATTGATGCCAAAGAACGAATAGCTCAGGTGGGTGCACAGGTTGGCATCGATGTTCGATACATCGAACTTGCCATTGCCACTCCGATAGTTCGCCCAGGTGCCCCAGTAGCAGTTGACAATGCCTTCAATAGAGACGGATATGGGATCATGACTGATTAGCTCGACCTGCGCCACGCCCACTTTTCACTTACGCTCGCCCGAAACGAGAGCACTCAGGCCAAGAACGACCAGCAGAGCTATTAACTTGTTCATTTGGACTGCCTCAGACTTGAACTAACTTTTGATAGCTGCTGCGACTGTCACTTTTATACGCTCCCCTTATCACCAGCTCCGAGGCAAGGTGACATATTTATGCGTCCACTTGAGCTCAAGTTGCCGCAGTAAGTGCAATTTACTTGATATTCCTTAAGCTCTAGTCGATCGATCCACTTCAAACAAATCAATAAACAAAACATTACATTAATCGTCGGTTGCCATGGAGATTTATATATAGTATTATTAAGTTTAATACTCAGAGATTTCTTAAATTCAAATTAAAAGTCAACTAGAAGAGGTTTTGAAGTTCCTGCAGGGTATTTAGTAGTTAGTCATTTAAAAAATAATACATATGACACTTCACTTGGTTTATTAAGAATTCATTACTCTCCCACTTACATGAGTGCAGCTTATCTAGGATAAAAAGTAGGTAATTACCAAGAACTAGAGAACGATATCAGTGCTTTAAGTACAAAAGTAATCCCCCTATGGGGAGAAAGCGTAGCAGAACCTATAATGCTACGTTTTTTCCATTATTTATATTCTTGATCAAAGAGACGACATAAATCGTTCGTCTGTCTGTTTATATAAATGAACGCCGCAGTCTAAAGACCTATAGCAGCTAGAGCTATAATTTTTCAGAGGTATATCGAATTAGTTTTAGCTGCTCTCATATGAATTTTTCTTCATTTCATTTCATTTTTCCGTTTTATAGTAAATGCTATATATTACGATATACAATACTACAAAAAACTGTATTTATTTTATATATATTCATTTATTGATTCTGTAAAAGATCAACCTCTCATTTAGTTGATAACGGCCCAAAGTTCACTCTGATTATCTAAGGACTTGGCTAGACAGCTAAAAAATAAATCAAGTCTCACTTTCTCTTAAACTTAAGGTTTATTAACAATTCAGGTTAATTTTGCAAAAGTTACAATAAAAAACAATAGATAAAAGCAACCGCTATTCGATTTCGAGATTCATTAACAATACAGAAATTCATTTGACAAGAAATAAATATAGAACCAAGTATATTCAGCTGCCAGGCGTTGGAATAKCGATTGTTGTTGTTGCATTAGCGGATTTCAGTGCGTGCGTCTCAAGGCATCTACCAGGATGTGCGACTATTCGAGATACGGTGGCCTCTGTGGCGAAAGCCGATCTAGTTGGAGACGTAGATCTCGAACTCCTTGTAGGCCAGCTCCTCGCCGCCATAGGGTATGTAGCAGCAGCCGTGCGATGGCTGCACCTTGCCCACGGTGACGGTGCCGTCGTGGGTGGCGCGTCCGATGAAGAGGGGCTCGCCCTCGGCCGTCTCGCCGGCGGGGAAGGCATTGGGTGGAATGTTACCGGCCTCGACGGGCAGCCAATTGCCGCCGGCGGCGCAGAGCACCTCGTACTCGCTGTGGCCGTGCTCGCCGCCGCCCCAGGCGACGTAGGTGACGCCGTGGGATGGATGCAGCTTGCCGGGAATGAGATCGCCCTCGTGGCGGGCGCGCGCAATATACAGCTGCTCGTTGCTATCGAAGCCGCCTTGCAGCGCATTCGGTGGCACCTCGCCATTGGCGGCGGCCACCCAGCAGCCAGGACCGCTGCCTGTGGGTTCCGTGAATCCCAGAACGGGTGCCGAGGGTGCGACCTCTGTGAAATTGCAAATGAATCGAAATTGAGTGGGATTCCACTAACTGCCGAGTGCTGAGTGCTGAGTGCGCTTACCGTCTATCAGCCAGGTGCCGCTGGCACCCCAGCCGGTGCAAATGCCAACATAGTTGACGGGGAACAGGGAGCCGGCATCGTAGGACAAGAATGCCGCCGCATCGCCCTCGTGTCCGACGGTGATCACGTTGTCATACCAACGCACCCAGAAGCCACGGAATTCGCCAGCATCCAGGATGCCGGGTGTGGGCACCTCGGCCACCTCGGGCTTTTGGCCATCTTTGCGTATGACCGACTTGCTGTTCTCCCAGCCGCCCAGGAAGATCTCGTAAATGGGCGGTGTAACCTGAGGACCAGAGGTGAGCGCCAGATGGGCATCCTTGGGCGAACGCACCTTGAACGTAAAGATGCCGCCGCTGGCCGGAAAGAATTGGTATTCCAATTTATCGGGTGTGTTCACTTCTGCAAAGGAAAACAAGAAATATATTTAGAAATCACTAAAAATAAATACAATCATATATGTATGTATATGTACAATATATTAAATGGAAAAATTCCAAAATCAGTCATGATTTTTAATTGGGAACATAAAAAGACAGCTGGTAAATGAAATAATTTTACAGGGTATGCGAAAAAATTGGGAAAAAATAAATATCAACAAAAAAGGTAAACAATATTAGAGCTTCTTATTAGTTAAAAAAAAAAGAAGGTAAAAATGTATTTGGTTATATTTGGATATATTATTCGCTAGGGTATTTGCAAATATCTCTCATTTGTTTTTTTTTTTTACGACAATAAATTAAAAAATATATATAACATGCGAATTATTTTAGGCTATTATTAAATTTATCAATATTTAATATTTGGCTAGGGTATCTGCGAGTCGTTTACTTGAGTTCATTGCAATGCGAGAGCATTTGAAAAGAAAATAAATACATATAATGAAAAATTTTTAATATTTTTTGTTTTTTAGAGTATTTGCTAGTCGTCTACTCGCGCTGTCTGTTGATTCCGTTGTTATTTGGATGAGAAAAGAAACAACGCATTTGATTCGCATGATGTCATTTTGAGTGTTGCCGGTTTTTCGCAGCATTCTCTAGACCTCAGCTATGAATCACTGAGAGAGCTTAGCTCTGCTACAGTGAAGCCCGCCCGCCCGCTCAGAGTGGTTCTGAGGCAGAGCTAACTGCTCGCAGACACCAATTAGATGTTTGTTTGAGGAACGTTCTCTCCATCCAACTATTTAACTCTGACAACGTTTAAAAAGCTGTTGGCATTCAAAAATAACTATGTGTAAAAATAAAAACATATGTATGTATTTATATACAATTGTGTTTGTGCATCTGATTTATATATGTTTGTGGCATGTAGAATGTTTGTTTGTGCGAAATTTCACATCACAACGAATGACATCATTTGCCTGCACCGCGAGGTCAAGCTATAGACAATTTTTGTTGCTCAATATTGATTATTGCCAGGGTTCAAGGAGGCGATAAGAAGGTAATTTATTTAATTTGCCAACTCAGTCCAAATAATTTGCAAAGCTACTCAAATTCGGTTATCTCAACTGGAATTGGGCTACGAATTCACAAGTTCTTTTACACCTTTCGAAAACATATTATCTATTCGATTGTTAGACCTTACAAATGATCCTGCAAATGCAGTCTTATCGAGCTTTACCACTTTTCTTAACTTTGATTTAGGGCAATGCCCCATAAAACAGAAAACAAAACTACAGAAAACGCTGATGAATATTAAGAATTTTTTAACAGCACAACACTTTTCGACATTTCTCTTCTTGGTTTTATTGGACATAGGCCAAAATAGCCACAAATACGGATGTCACACAGAAAGAGAGAGCGAAGAAAGATATAGCGTGCGAGCTGTCACAGCCGGCATAATAAACAGTAAATCCACTGTATTTATTTTGAGGTCAATATATTATGCTTATTCAATTATCCATTGACTTCAGTCCAATTAGAACAGCTCACGACTCACCAATTGGCATGGTTGCTTCTTATTTGATTCGACGTTGTGCGCTGATTGAGATTCTAATTCAAACTGACTTGGCGAACGATTTCACATGCGAGGTAAACACCTGCTTAACAAGACGCACGAAGAGATAGGCAGAGAGAGTGAGAGCCAGAGAGCCATGACAAAAAGCTCAGAGAGATGTCACGCAAGCTCTTCTGTTTGGCTAAAGTACAGTAACAGTGCCAGTCAATGTCTTGTTGGATCGGGCTGCGCGAGGATGGGGGATCGTTGTCTATTGAATGCTGGTCAGACTGTACCCCGTTACATACATACATTTCAARCCTCTCCCAATTCGCATGCATAAGTTTGCGGTTCCGTTCGCTATGCCAAAAGCAGTAAATCAAATGCTTTAACCATTTTCGGGGCAACGCACAAGAATAATCAATTTTGTCATAGGGTGACCAAATCAACGCTCATTTGCTTGAAATACTTTTTCTAGTATTTAACTAGTATTTTTTAGAGCACAGCCCAAGTTTCGTCTAAAAGCTGTTACTTTTAATATTTTTTGTTACTTTACTAGTATCTGAAAATCAGCAGAAATAGTAAGTCACAATTACAATGTAGTTAGGCAATAATAGTAATTTTAAAAACATTTTATAGCTGTGCTAAAATAATTAGTAAGTCACTTTTAGATTTATACATATTTATGCACATTAATATATTTATAGCTTGGTCAATTAGCAGCGCTTGAAACACAAAATTGTGGCTTAGAAACAGATCTATAGACAAATGACTATACCTTCAGCTAGAGTATTAACAATATTTTCAGTCACAAGGTGTAAATAATATAGGTATATTTGTAATGAAAATTCTAGATACTTCTATACGTTTTTTTTTCTCAATATTCAAATATTTATATTGAAGCAAACATGTTTACAAGTCAAAGTTTTTGAAAAGCTCCCGCTAATTCGAAGCTTTCGCTACTCAAGCTATGCAAATTAAATTAATATGTCGTCACATGTCGCTTTTATTGTATTTGTCATGCCAAACACTGGGCTGAGGGAGATACGTCACCGATGTGGCACGCAATCGAGCTAAACTTATAATACAATATTAATGTCATTAGCTACTTCAATAATTTATTCATTTTCAATAAAATATATATCATTAATTTATTAATATTCTTATTCATGGACAATATATATTTTTAGATTATGGGAAAAATATTCTGACAGAACTTCACATAAAATACGAATTTAAAATATTTTCAAAAATTAATATAAAAAAAAAAAAAAATTTTT